TGGACCGGGACCGGGACCGGGGACCGTGCGCTCACCCTCTGCTCTGTCCCCGCAGGTAACCAAGGTGCTGGGCCGGACCGGCTCCCAGGGACAGTGCACGCAGGTGGGTGGGCCTGACTAGGCCGGGCCTGAGCGGGGGGAGCGGTGCCGCTGGGCCGGGCTGACCCCGTCCCGTCCCGCAGGGGCGTGTGGAGTTCATGGACGACACGAGCCGCTCCATCATCCGCAACGTGAAGGGACCGGTGCGCGAAGGCGATGTCCTCACCCTGCTGGAGTCGGAGCGTGAGGCCCGGCGGCTGCGCTGAGACGGTGAGGCCCCGGGGGCCGCCCGGGGAACGGGGAGCGGAGCCTCGGCCGCCTCTAAACCGGCGTGGCCTGCGCTGTTCTCTTGCAGACGATGAAGCCTGCCGGCCTTTCCTCGGAGCGGTTGGTCGGTATCTGCTGGGCCAGGCGCCGGCCGTGGCGGGAGAGGAGCGTGGCGGTGGTGTTACTGCAATAAAGGGTTTGTCCAGTGGTCCCTTGCCCGGGTCTCGCTTCTTGAACGCGCGAGTGCCGCGGTTTGTCACAGCACTTACGCCCCTGCCCTTTGTTGTTGGGCTCAGCTGAGGGACAGAAGCACACGCTGCTTCTTGCTGGGGTTACACGTAACGCCTTCATCATACTACTACTGTGTTCCCGCGTTTTTATTAACCTGTCACAACAAAAATAACTCCCTGTTTTGATTACAGTAGGCTTAATCCTGACCTTGCTGGTAAGCGTTTTTCTGTAGGTAACCAGTGAAGTGGCACTACTAAACTTACTGGACTTCTGTGGAATTTAATGGCAAGTTGAAAGTTGAGCGTTGTACCAGGTTGCAAAGCAATAGCGTGCTGCTTCTGTCTTTCTCTCTTCAGTAAGCTATTCTATAAATGCTGCTGTCTTTCCTGGCAGTCGCCCACAGAGAGCAAGTGCTCATGTCTCTCTCCCCTGAAAGGAGTTAGTAAATCAGTCTCACTTATTTTCTTCCTTGGCTTTCCCTGCCACCACACAATCAGCTAGAAAGATTTACTGTTTTAGGCAGTTACATAAAGTAAAACTAAGGGTGAAAGGATTAGGAATGAGCCTGAATACTGTCACAGTTCAAGGGCTGGTTTTTAAGTACTGGTATTTTCCATCTGGTAATAGAGTGATACTGCTTTGTGCTGTGTTTGAACCAAGTCAGGTCTGCAGCTCCTGATCCTGTGGTCTCTGATGGGAGTGTTCTTCATCCTTCAATGTCTGAACTTGCTTAAGGCACTTTAGTGGCAGATGGGATAAAGGATTTGAGTATCCTAAAGCTGAGGAGAGCACTTCTGGAATAGATGTTCAAATCACTGAACTTAGGCAGACAGTGAGAATTGCTGCCAGGGTTTGTGTTGAAAGAGTGTTTGTGGGTTTTTTTTTCCCTCCCACGGGTGTTAGTTGTGCCCTGGTCAGCTTATGGGCAGCCTGAGGTGGATTTTGTGCTCTGGAGAAAGCCCTTGTCAAAATATGGTTGTGCTGTCGCTTTATATAGTTCTTGGTTCTTCTTTGGTGGTGTTTCAGTTTTCAGAGCATTGGGTGAGTCTGTGCTCCCCTGATTCGTGTGACACAGCAGAGCTCTCGGGAACTACTAGCTATGAGTGCAAGAAGTCCACCTCAGAGTTTACTTCTTTGGCTGCTGTTTGTTCCCTGTACAGCTTTAGCAATGACCAAAGAGCATTTGCTGTGGCAGCTGCCAGCCCTGACTGTGCTGAGTGACTGAGACAGGAGGCATCAGCTGTGGGTCAGTGGCCAGACAGAGGTAAAGTTGTAGCAGGAGTGGCTCAGAGCAGCTGTAGCCCTTCCCGAATATCCCCATGGGGTCAGCGTGGCCCTTGGCCATGTGAGGAAGGTGATTTTGAGAGTGGGGATACAATCTGATGATTGCTCTTTAATAATGCAGCTTAGTATCAGAGCACCAGGGTGAACCAAGGGTAGTGAAGGGCTATGTCTGGTCCCAGCATCCTGCTTGGTCCTGTGAAGTGAAACAGGCCAGAAGACACCACAGTACCCAACTGGGACAGTTCAGCTGGAAGAAAACCAGACTGATGGATGTAGCCAGTTCATAAACTTGCAGGGAATTAATTGAAACATGCGGGCACCTGCTCAGGGCGAGGGCTGTGCCAGGCTGTCCCTCTGATGAAGTTGTTCTGGGGGTTTTATCTTGAGCCAGACAAGGAGGCAGGAGACTGCTGATGGATGGTCACTGTAATATTTCAAAATAATTTTACTTTAAAATTTATTTATATCTTAAAAATAAACATCAGTATTAAAATATCAGTAAACAAACCTGTGAGACCAAAGCAGTGAGTATGGAATACATAGAGAATAGTGTACTAGAGAGTGGCTGTGAGCATTGTATATTAACTTCAGTGCAAAGCTGAAACAGGCCCACTGCGAGGACAGCAGCGTGTCGCCTAGAACAAGTTTCTTGGAGAGCATTTCCCAGCTTGCAGTATGGCTCAGACCAGGCCTTGGTGGGGCAAGAGTGATGGTGAGAAAGGCTGGGCCAAGGAGCAGAAATGGGGCTGTGATACGCATTACCTTTGTGAAGGATTCAGAGCAGAGCCGGCTTCACATGCAAAAGCCTTTTTCCTCCCAATCCTTAGTCCTTACCTTGTCTGTTCCCACCCTGCCTGGTGCACACACACTCGCACAGACATACACACGTCTTCCGACATACGCATCCATCTCTGCGGGCTCTAGGCTCTCTCTGAGCTCTTCTTGCTGATCTCTTTTTTTTCTGGAGCTATCCTCAGCTGCTCTCCTCCCCTTTGGGAAGGAAAGTGGGCAGAGAGGGACTTGGTTGTGGGCTCTGGTTGCCTGCACAGTCAGTGGCTATGAGACTGTTTAAAATGGGAAATGTTTAGGAGGTAATTGCTATCTTTCCCTTGGAAGAAGGTCCCTGCTCCCTGTGTGGGGTATTGGGGTGCAGTCTCAGTCCCTAAAGGTGTTCATGGCTCTTGGCCCCCTTCTGTCAGCTTGGCTGCAGCCCCGAGTGCCCAGAAGTTTTGCTCCCATTGAGCAAATCAAACCACCAAGTGATTTCATGTTGAACTCCATCCTTTGACTGAGCAATATAATTTTTTTTGCTTTGTGTGCTTGTGCTCGAAAAAATTCAGATTTCAGCCAGGAAAGGAAATGCCAGAAAAGAAGGGCAAGTATTTCAGTCTGGAAGTGCTCCCAGCCTGCTTCTGAGGCAGTGTTAACCAGCTCATTTGTGTCCCCTCTCCCATCACTGCACAGGACTCTCCTGCTGAGCACCTCTTTCCACGCAGTACAGTGGGGTCCAGGAGCTGATGCTCGCCCTCCTGCAGCCCTGCTCCCCGTCGCCAGCTCCGCTGCCTTCCTGGACCTGCCAAGAGCTGGCTAAGAGAGCAGAAACCAGGTGCTATTTCTGCCGGGTTTGTTTTGTGCTGTTCCAGTGAGTTAACGACTTGCAGAGGGCTCCAAGGTGGTGCAGCTCCAGCAGTCGTGGCAGAGAGCAGGGCCGATGGGGAGCAAAGGGGATGGGGCTGGCTTTTACTCGCTGCATTTCCCACGCCGAGGTCACTGGATGCTTGGCTCCTCTGTCACTTGGTGGAGTGAGGTGGCTGTGCATGGGTCGCTTCCAGCAGTAGAGACGGGTGAGCGAGGCCCAGGGATGGTGCCTGCTCTATTGACAGGAGAATTAAAGCATCTGCAGCCACAGAGAGCGATTCAGCACACAAAGGAGTGGCAGGCAAGGGGACATAAATTACAGCCCAGTGCTGATGGTGGCTGGCTGGCACACAGCTGACCCCTGGCTGGATCCAAAGATCACTCTAATTTGGTTTCTTGGGGCTCCCAGGGCTCTTCGTGGCTGTCAGTGATGTCCCCTGCTGCAGAGAGAGCAGAGTCATGAAATGTCACCAGAGACCCCTCCGGCAACTCCTAGTCAGGGCCAGCCAGGCTGATTCCCTGCTACTGAGGATGCACCAAACATGTGGTGCCTGGGATGCCCTGCTCTCACCCCTGCAGCCCCTTCCTGGGGAGCATTATCTGTGTCACAGCCCTGTCCCCCCTGCCATGGGACCACCTCCATGGTCCTTGTGTGGGGCAGGAGGGGGGGGCTGCAGTACTCACGGGCAGCTGCGCCTTCGTGCCGTTGAGGTGGGCATAGAGGAGCACGGCGATGTTGCTGTGGCCAGCCTCCAGCGCGATGGCAACAGCATTGTTCCCATCCTAAAAAGGAAGGGAGAGCACTTGGGAAGAGGTTTGGAGACAGGATGTGGGGTGGGCAAGCATCCCCAGGTCCCAGCGGCAGAGGCTTACACTGTCCACAATGGAGATATTGCAGGTGGGCTGAGCCAGCAGCAGCTTCACGGTCTCCACGCGGCCGTGCTCGCATGCGCACATCAGCGCGGTCGAGCCCTCCTCATCCTGCAGGTTCACGTCAGCTCCGCAGGCGAGCAGGGCTTCCACCATCTCCTGCCGGCCGTGGCTGACGGCCAGCATCAGCGCCGTCTGGCCAGCCTGCGACACAAGGGGATGCTGCCAGGCTGCTCCCGCCCCGGCTGTGCCACCCACTCTTCCCAGTGCCCCAGGGAAGGACTGCTGCTGTCCCCAGTGCCCACATGGTCTCTGAGCACCTCCCTGACTGGAGATTACGTGTGGGTGAGACCTGAGAGCCCTGATGCCAGGCAGCAGGAGCTCCTAATGTGATGCCCTCCTCATATACCAGCCCCTCCAGGTTTTGGAGCCACAGTCCTCCCTTGGAGGAGCCAAGTGTGGCCCTGGCCGCTGCTTGGGGATGGGGGGGAGAGGGACAGGCCATGGTGGCCCCCAACCCACACCAACCTGGCTGGCCTTGGCGTTGACATTGCCCATGCTGAAGAGCCTCCTGACCACGTTCATGTCATCCTCCTGCTCAACGGCCGCCAGTGCTGCCAGCATGAGAGCTGTATAGCCGGCTTTGTTCTGGTGGTCCACGTTACAGACCCCTGCAGGGATGGGCAGAGTCAGGGGGGCTCAGGGTGCTGCGGGGCTGGTGGGAGGCACAGACTGAGCCATGTGCCTGGCTGGTGCCCTGCCCAGGGTGCTGCAAGCCGTCCCAAAGCCCCGTGGGCACAGACCTGCTGATGGGTCCCCCCACATCAAATCTGGGCTCCGAAAGGGCTGGGGTGGCTGCTCAACCCCCCCCACCTATGCACGGACACAGCCCAGGGCAGTTGTCCCTGCCCCTCTGCTGTCAGCACCTTGCCCCATGCCTTGCAGGGCCAGGACCTGACGTGGGGTACAGAGTGGGATGGTGGCAGGGGGACATTTCTGGGGGTGGGGGGCACTGACCCGTGTCTAGCAGCAGCCTCACGATGTGGAAGTTGGAGTGGGAGACGCTGTAGTGCAGGGCTGTGTTGCCGTTCCCATCTGCCAGGTTCACCACGTGGGCCAGGAGAGCTGGCGAGACCTCAGCAAAGGCCAGGAGGTGGTTGGCGACCGTGTCAGGGATGGATGACTTCTGGCTGGACAGACGGAACCACTCCTGCAGGACCAGGCTGCTGCTGGCAAGCTGTGGGCAGTGGATGGGGCTGAGCTGGGGACCATGGCTCCACACCCCCCCAAGCCTCTGCACGGCCCTTTCCCCCAACCCCAGCACCCACCCTGCTGCTGCCGGCCCCAGTGGGGAGCAGAAATGCTGCTCCAGAGGGAACTGGGGGAAGGCAGGACCCTGAAACCCCAAAATCATGCTGGGATGGCCCGAACTGAGTTCACGTGGGTTTTGGGGTATCTGGGATAAAGCCTGAAGCAAAGGGCTGTGTTTTGGGGGAAGGTGCTGAGCTGGGCTTTGCTGGCCCATCTTTGGGGAGGGCCAGCCTCAGGGGGGACTCCGGCAGGGGCTGGGTGAGCCATCCCACCCGCAGCACCCCACTCACCACCTCTTTGCTCTTGGTGGCACTGGGGTGGCCCAGGTGGGTCTTGACGATGAGGCAGGCCTCCCGCATCCTGGGGCTCAGCTCGAACCTGGGGAGAGCATGAGGGCGTCTGCGGTGGGGCTGCATTGCCCCACCAAAACCGCACCGGCAAGGAGCACCCGGAGTCCCCTCCGCGGAGCCTTTGCTCCTCTCCCCGGTGCCTACGAGCCTCCACGAGCTCCCCATGGTGCAATGTCCAGCCCAGTGGCTGCACCCCGGCAGCTTCAGCCTCTGCAAACCCCCATTGAACTGAGCCTTACATGGACACGCTCAGGCATGATTTACCCACTTGTAGGCCAAATTTTTTCCTTTTGTTGAAAAATGCTATTAAGGGCTGTTGGTTTTTTTTTTTTTTTTGTCCCTCTCCAAACTTTCTTCTGGAAAGAGGCATCTGGGGCCTCGGTCTCATCCTTTCCTTAGCAGACCCAAGAAGCTGGAAGGACTTTTTCCTGCCAAATGGTTTCTGCAGGAGCTGAATGTGTTTTTCCCATCGGCTGCACCCAAACCAGGGTAGATGCCCTGAGTCGGCAGGGCTGGTGCTGGCCCGTGGCTCCCAGCTGCACGGGGTGAGGCGCCTTCCCCATCGGCACTTACTTCTCCTTTACCTCGGGGGGCTCCGGCAGGGTCACGCCGGCCCCCTCACGCTCCTGTCCTGGCTCACGCTCGCCTTCCTCAGCCTCCTCGTCCGAGGTTTCAGTGTCCCCCAGCTCCTCGCTGTTGGAGCTGTCGGCTGAAGCCTTCTCAGAGGAGCTGTCTCCTTCTTCCTCCTCCTCCTCCTCCTCGCTGGATGTGCTCTCATACCTGCACAGAGGGAGGATGCTCAGTGGCAATGTGGCACCCAGCTGGTCCCCTCCAGGCCCCCCCTCATTGCCACTGCCCCCAGTCCAGGACGGAGATGCTGGGGGCCGGGGCTGGCCCAGGCGTGTGGCAGGAGCCCCTCGGCACGTACTCCCCGTTCAGCACGCCCACAAACTGCAGGCTCTTCTTGCTGCCGTCGGCCTCACTCCGGGGGGGACCATCCCGCTTCTTCATGATGGACTTCAGGGCTCCTGGGGGTAGACAGATGGGTGTCAGGGGTGAGCGAGCAGGAACCTCCCCCCTGGTGCTGCCCGGGCACCCCAAACCCACCAGACTCCCGGGCGGGCATGGAAGGGACGTGGGCAGAGTGCAGGTTGCTGCTGTGACACGGGTAGCATTGGCCCTGCAGGCGCTGTCCCCAACAGGGCCACCCTCTCCCTTCCCACAGGAACGTCCCAGCCCAGACCCTGGTGTCATCCCCAGTGACAACTCACCGGACGCAGGGCTCGGGGCAGCTCCAGCATCCTGCGCCGCGGACGGGTCCCGGCCGCTGTGCGTTGTCTCTGGCGTGGCTGCCCTGGGGACCGGGCAGCCCTGGCACGTCCCCCCCATTGCTCCTGTGCCCTGTGCTGAAGGGCCGCTCGGGGCACGGCCCGCACCGGGCTCCATCTCGCCCGCTGGGACGGTGCCGCCCACGTCGGTCTGGCTGCCCTTGTCTTTGCACCTGCCGGCCGAATCGGGTCCGACCGCCACGTCCCGCCCGTCGGGGCGGCAGCCCACCCCGACGCAGGTGGTTGGTGGGCAGCACTCCACGCTCGCCTCTGCCGTCTCCAGGGGGTCGCCGGCCGCCCGGTTCTGGGTCACCACCGCCGCCTCCACCAGCGCCTCGGCCACCTGCGGCTTGGCCGTCACCTCCTTGTCCACCCGCCCGCGGGGCCGGCGGGCGCACACCTCCAGCCGCAGCTCTTCCAGCTCCCGAGTGGCCTCCCGCAGGTGACCCTCCATCAGGGCGATCACCTCCTTCTGGTGTCCCACTGTCTGCTGCAGCAGCTCCAGCTCCCGCTCTGCCTCGCTGGTCAGCCCCAGCGAGGACTCCAGAACCCAGACGGCCGCGTCCCTGCGCTCCCTCACCCCGCTGTCCGGCACGTCGCCGCCGTCCTGCTGCGACCGGTAGTAGAAGACCGCGTCGGTCATGGCCCGGTCCTCGCCCACCGCCACGGAGCGGCACAACCTCTCGGCGGCCCTGGGGCTCCTGCCCGGCCAAGCCCTGCCGCCCCGCTCCGGCACGGCCAGCTTCTCCGTCAGCTTCCTCAGCTCTGCGACCTTGCTCACTCGCCCCTTTGCCGGCTCCGTTTCGCTCTCCGGCCCCGCTCGGGGTGGCTCCTCACCCCCCATCACCACCTCGGAGCCAGGGGGGTGGCCAAAAGCCTCGCCGGGCTCTGCCGACAGCTTCTCCATCAGCTTCGCCTTCTCCCTCTTCAGCTCGCAGATCTGCATCTCCAGGAGGGGGATGGTTTTCACCTGCTCCTCCAGGTCCCGGAGCTGCCGCAGGGCTGTGGCCATCTGCTCCCGCACGTGCTGCAACGGTGCAGCGCTGAGCCCCGCCGCCGGCGTGCTGCGCCCTGAGCTGCCAGGGCTTGCCCGTCCCCAGCCTGCCTGGCCCTCGGTGCCCGCCGGCACCCAGAGGGACGGCTGACTCGGGGCACCCGGCGGGCCACTGCGGGAGGGACCACCGATATCCTGCAAATGGCCCTGCTCCTGCTCCAGCCTTCTGCTCGTTTCCAGCAGGGTCTTCTCCACCCGTGGGTTGCTCATGAGGCACTTGCGGGTGGGAGGTGGGAGCAGCCGCACCGGCGGCGGCGGCGAGACGGGGTGGGAGGTTGGCTTGCTCAGGGGCTCCAGGGGTGCCCGGCCGCGCGGGGACAGCAGCAGCGCGGTCCTGCCCTCCTCGCTGGCCGTGGAGGCGAGGGACTCGGTGGAGGTCCAGGCACTGGCATGGCTGCTGGGGCTGCGCAGGGCACTGGGTGGCTGCCGGGCCCCTTTCGCCCTGCGAGGCAGCGGCACTTTCTTGAGTGTTTGGCCGCTTTCGATGTCATTGACGTATTTCAGGAAATCCAGGTCCAGGAGGAAGCCGTAGGGCGTTTCCACTGAATACGAGCTCTTCTCCCCATCATCCTGGTCCCGGTACAAGAATGGGCCCCCAAGATCTGCAAGAGAAGCAGGGATGGTTAGGCAGGGATCCCGTGGAGACAGGAAGGCTTTCCCAACTTCATTATACTGGGATTTGCAGCCTGCAGCCCTGCTCCCTGCTGTGATGCTGCTGGCAGTGAGCCCAGCGGATGGCCCGTCCCCAGCACCCTGGGTGCCGTTGAGTGTCACAGGGCACCCACTCTCTGCCGGGGTCAGTGCTGGGGGTGAGGAAACCCACTGGGACAGGACAGGAAAGCTCAGCCATTCCCCTCATGCTCCTTCCACCGCTCCTGCCTGGTGACAACCCCGGTCCCTTTACCTGGGAGGTTCTGGTTCAGGGGTGCAGGCTGAGCCATCTTCTCCCTGGGATGCTGCTGACCAGGGAACCATCAACCTGCAACAACAATGGGGCCACATCTGGTGAAACCCTGTAAATGGGGAGGCTGGTGAGCCCCACGTGTCTGCAAACCACTGCCCCCCACCCGGGGAGCACCCCATGGCCGCCCCCCCACCATCCGCCAGGCCCCTCTCGCCTCCCTCCAACCCTGGTGCCGCGGGTCTGAAGCTCAAGCCGGCGGCCGGGCAGGCAAGTGCGGCACTGCCTGCAGGGCTGGGGATTGTTTGTACATTTAAGGAATGCTTCGCAGCCCGGGCTGGGATGGCCGCGGTGGTCACGCTGCCAGCTCCGAGGGTGCAGAGTCATGAGTCAGAGCTCAGCTGCGTTGGGGAGCAGGCTGGAAAAAAAAAAAAAGAGGCTGCAGCCTTTACGGGTGCGATTCTCAGCGGAGAAGTTTGCTTTGGATAAAGGGAATCGATGCTTTTGCAAAGCCACGTGACCGCAGGCAGCTGCCAGCACCCATCAGTCGCTGGGTGTGATGTCTGGCTTCACTGCCCGGGGTGAGTGGGCTTGGGGTGCCCTGCGCTGCCCATCCCTGCCTCGGGGGTGTCTCAAGGGCCGGTGACCCCTAGGAGGGACCTGGCTGCTTTTCCCTGTTGATAATGCAGGATAAGGCACGGTGGGAGGCGAGGGGGAATGAAATGGGAGCCTGGTTTTCCCAGGAGCCAGGCACGGGCACGCTGGAGGAGAGCCAGAGGGATGCGGCTGCGGTCCAGGGGTGAGCTCACGGCTGGGGGTGCTGCCAGCTGTGAGAGTTCAGCTGGGACCTGCCACAACATCTGGCAGCATCTGGGTGCCGGGGCCCAGGTAGGAAATGCTCCTGGTGGGATTGGGATGGGGCAAACAGACCCCCCGGAGCCCCCACTGCTGCTGCACATGGTGTCACCCTCCAGGGACCCGCCTCGTCCCTGCCCACGGGCTGCAGGTGGCCACAGGGATGCGCAGCTGTCGGTGGGCAAAGCATTTGGCACCAGGCTATTTTCAGAAGAAAGCAGGGGAGGAGGCATGCCGCAGAGAAAAGGAAGCTCAGGCACAGCCCTGAGGGAAGCTGAGGCTCAGCGCTGCGCAGAGAACAGCGCCAAGATCTGGCCTTGGCTGCAGAGAGAAACACCCGCATCCATCCCCAAATCCTCTGCGTGCGAGAACCGGAGGATCCAGACTCTTCTAGCAGAGATGCTGCGGCTGCCCCTGTCACCCGGCCCAGCTTGGGGAAGATGTGACAGCCCCCGGCTTGCACCCGCTGCCCATGACGATGCCACCTGCTGCTGCCCAGCCCTGGCTGGGCCACTGTGGCCACCAGCCCGTGGCTCGCCCTGACCACGCAACTGCCAGAAGCCGGGGCAGCAGCTGTGCTGCAGGCAGACCTGGGCCAGGCTCAGGCTGGGCACCCAGGTGACGTGGCAGCTCCGCGACAGCACCCCTTCCACATCCCTTGGGAACACCCCGGCTCCATGCTGGCACCCCACCATTCCCATGCCACTGGCTTCATACCTAAAAGGGTCCACGCATCCCTCGCCTCGCCTAATCCCTCCTGCCCCAGGAAGCAGCCGGCTTCCTCCTCCGCACAGCCCTCGCTGCAGGTAATTAAACAGCGCCGGGGCCAGGGCAAACTTCCCACCGGGCTCCGCGCACGCCGTAAATCAAACGGGAGGAAGAGGGAGAGCAACAGGAGCCAGAGCCAGCGGGTGTGTTTCCTTGGGGGAAGCAGCCGTCAGCTCCCTTCCGCCGCCCGGCTGGGTATTGTCCTGCCTGGGGCTGAGCCAGGAAAAGCCGCCTCCGCCGGGACCCTGCCAGGAGGTCTCCCGCACCGCTCCTCCCGCCTGTGGCAAAGGTGCCCTTTCTGCCCGTACTGCCCCACTGTCCCCTCCGCTAACCCAGGGACACACTGCTTGTCCCCCCTGCCACCTCCTCCTGACCCTTCAAGCTGACACCAGCAGCTGCTGTCAACTGGGCAGCTGTGCTGCCGTCCCCAAAGCCAGGGGAGATCCTCCCGCAGCTCCCCTGTGGCTCTTGGCCCCCATTACTTTTGGTCCGATGGGATGGGCTGGACCCAGGGCAGGAGCTTCTGCGTTCACCCAGCTCCGAAACAAAGGCCCAGGCCAGGCAATGGGACCTGGAGGCTCCCAACCATGTGCAAATTGCCCCGGGAACCCCGCGATGTGCAAAACCTCACAGGATCCCCGCGACGTGCAAACCCCTCTGGGGGGCTCGCAATGTGCAAACTGCCCCTGGGCTGCCGGTGGGCTGGGCTGAGCATCGAGGTGAGGTGAGTGGCAGGCTGGATTTGAGCCAGTAAGGATTAGCAATGGAGGTAGACGGTCCCGGCACGCAGCAGCGGCGAGAGGGTTAAGTCCCCGCGCCCTCGGCCCAGCCACCGCTGGCACCTGCCGGGGCTTGGCCACACAAAGCCAGCCTTGTCCCCGGCCGGCCGGCATCACCACGGCACCGGTTCAAAGAGAAGCCGCTCTCCACCTGGGCTGAAGTCCCGACGGGGAGGACCGTGCCGGCCACTTTGGTGCCAAAGGCTGATTTTTGGCAGTGTCGGCCGCTCCCCTGGGCACCGGGGTTTGGTGCTGCCAGGGCTGGGCACAGGGACCCCTGGGTGCCGCAGGCAGGGCACCCTGCATGATCCCAGCTTCCTTCAGAAGAAATGGAAGCATTGTTTCTAGCCCCGGTGTTTCTGCAGAAAAGCAGGATGGTACAAAGCGAAGTGCTGCTGGGGAGGCTTGGCAGCAAGAGGAGGAGGAGGAGGAGGATGCTCAGGGACCCAGTTGTCCCTGTGGAGGCAGGACTACACTTCGCCCTAGTCTCGCACTTCTATTTCCCCCTCTTGCTGTCGTACCGATGACAACGCAGGAAACTTGGGGCCAAAACTGGAGCTGCTCCACTCAATTACAATAAAAAGCCATGTTAGGGACAGGGCAGCCTGGGCACAGCTTGGGTACCATCCAGTATCCGTGCCCCAGCCCCAGCCAACCCTCTGGGACCCCTGGCCTCATGGTCAACGGGGCGATCCTCCCTCTGGAACCCCAAGCCCCCTGTCTGGCAGGGGACAGGCCTGGGGGAGCTATTTTTAAAGCTCTGGACTCCTTTGGGCCTTTCCCTTGCCAGAGGCACAAGCGGGGCAGCCCCCATCCCGTCTCGGCCACGCGCCGCTGTGCAGCCCAAGCCACTCCACTGGCGTGGCCGGGGCCAGACACAGGGAAGGCTCTCCCCTGCTCTCCTCCCGAGCCAAAATACTGAGGTCATGAGGAATGCGAGAAGAACAGAGTCCAGAGCAGCCCTGGCCAGTGCGACTTGATTTATCTCAGCGAGGCACGCTTCCCCGAAGCTGTGTGCAGGCGATAAGCCCCGAAGCTCGGGGCCGAGGCTGTTCCAAAGTTAAAGGGAAACCACTGAGCAAGCACACGGCTTCCTCCACTGCTAGTGACCTGCCAGGATTCGGGCTTCTCACACGGTCCAGGTCATGGGTGCCCGTCACCTGCAGTGTCACCCGCCAGCGCTGCAGGATGGGCGCAGATGGGAGGTATCCAAGGCTTATCACACCTTCCCAGCCACTCATCCTGTCCCCATCCCCTGCCAGTACGGGATGGCCCATGCTTTGTGCCACCTGCTGTCCCTGCACCCGCTCGCCCAGGCCACCTCGGCCATGCTATCCAGGCTGGGGCTGCTCCTGGAGAAGCTGGATCCTGTGCGGGTGGGTGTGCCGGCACTGACCCAGAGAGGGAAGGGGAAACGCTTCAATCTTCTCAGCAGCCTAACTTCAGGGTTGGGCTGTTATTTCTGGAGCTGTCGTCATTGTCGGCCCGGTCGGTCGGGAGGCCACAGGGGCTGCTCGGGCTCTGCAACCCACTCCAGCACCTTGGGGACCTCCCCAAGCTCGCACAACACCTGGACAACAGGCGCACAGTCCGTACGCAGACGTACTCACATGGGGATCAGGTCTATGTGTCCTGTCACACCTACAGCTGCATAGGGCTTCTGTATCTCCACTAGAAAACATCTACCACTTGTCCCGCACCCTCACCGCAGCTGCCCACCAGCACCTTCCACCAACAAACACCTCCCTGATTCCCTCAGGGCTGGTGACAACGCACAGAGTCAGCAACGAGCCCCAAAGGCCTGGGATCACCCTGCTGCAAGGAGGTGCTCGGGGATGAAATTGTTAAATTCGCACCCAGGGCGCACAGGCACCATTGGGGTACATGCACAGCGCCGGGCACAGCCCCATGGCGGGTTCCCCATGTGCACGCAGGGAGCACCCTGAACCCCGCAGCACCCCACGTGCACTCCAGCACCCCAGAGGGGCCTGCGGCAGCCTAGGGTGCCCTGCCACACCCCCAGCCCTGTGGGTCCCCAGCACCCTGGGGGTTCTGCAGCACCTCGAGCCCTGAGGAGCCCCAGCACCCCGGGGTGCCCCCCAGCATCTCCAGTCCTGCAGGTCCCCAGTGCCCTGTGGTGCCTGCAGCACCCCCAGCCTTGTGGGTCCCCTGTACCCTTGGGTGCTCCACAGCACCCCCAGCCGTAACAGGTCCCCAGCACCCCGGGGAGCCCACCAGCACCCCCGCAACCTTGTGGGTCCCCAGCGCCCCCGGGAGCCCCATAGCACCCCCAGCACCCTGCACGCCCCTGCACGTCGGGGCG